GAAAAGGAATTGCAGTGAGATGGATTCAAGCTCCAGACCACGAATGCCAACTCTGTAGTTTCCTTTCCCTACAGTTGGAGGGGAGAAGTAGAAGAATGTGTTTTTGGTAATAGGATACTGTTTAAAAGCTGCTGCTTGTGTGAAGACAGTTCTGTGTTGCTACTGATGGGAAAATGACCTATTAACATTTCCTGTGCAAAGGCAGCCCTCGAGGAACCAACGCTGTATTAGGGAGCAAAACCCCACTGTAAATACTTGTAAAAAGAATGCTCTTTGGCACTCTGAAATGTCCCTTTGGGCAGTGACTCCTCTTCACTCTGAATCCCACAAAATACTGTATTTTGGGGTCTGAACACTCAATCTAAGTTCACCCATCCTTTCCCAGTAGTTCAAAGTATTTATATTGTAAGAGATTTTGTTTTGTGATGTCATCCAGATATAATTCTTCCTGTTTTTTAGTAACTATTTAATTATGAAATATTTTTATATGCAGGTGTGTTCTCTACATTCATTCTTGTCCTAACAATGTGATGAAAATGAGTTTTAAAAAAGCACATTGCATAGACTTTTCATACAGTCACATAGACTGTTTGGGGACAAACAGTTTGTGAGTTTTAACACATGGGACAAAGCCATGTTGTCACCCCAGTGGACAGCACACAGAGGGGTTCCATCCCCCCCAAAGCGCCCTCGTGCTGCCCCTACTGCGATCACACTCATCCACCCTGACCCTTGGCCAGTGCCGATTGTCTCTCTGTTCCTGTAAGTGGCCTTCCCCAGAAGGTCAGACCGATGGGGTCACTCAGGGTTTCTTTCACCTTTGCACTTGGTGTACAGCCTTGGACGTCCATTGAGGGGTCGCACCGACAGTACTTGTCCCTTTGCACTGCCGGGCAGTCAGTACTCTGTTGTGTGGACAGGCTGCCATGTGTTTGTCCACTTACCTTCTGAAGGACATTCCAGCTGTTTTCAGTTTTGGGTGCTTATGAATAAAGATGCTGTAAACATTGGTGTGCATACTTTTGTGTGAACATACGCTCTTTGTGTCTTTAGATAAACCCCTAGAAATGGGATTTCAGGGTCCCATGTTAAGCGTCTCTGTGCCTTTTGCAAGAAGCTGCCAAACCATTTGCCGGAATGGCATAATTTTGTGTTCCCATTAACAACGCCTGCACTTCCAAACACTCACATGCTACGTAAACACTCTTGGCTTGGGGCTGGCGAATTGTGTGCCATGGTTCCTTGGGGTTTTGAAGAGACTCCTTTTGACAGGGAGAGCCTCTAGGTGCCCCATACCAACTTCAAGGAGAACTGCTCCAGTTTTGTTTTTCTTATGTGAAGTCCTGTGTAAGAATACATTTGGGGAGAAAAGAGGTTTATCCGTGAAGAGTTTAAAGACCATTGCAATAGGGCAGTGCATCCAGAGCAGGGTGTGGACCACGGGTGTTACTCGGGGAGAGGCTGGGGGCGCTCCAGGGCTGTACCCTCCATGGGGACCACATGGTAAGAATGTGGTTCCCTCTCAGCTGCTCCCTCAGTCCCTCATTAGACTGACGTGTCCCTAGCACTGTCCATCACGTGTCCGTGTCCTCTTTTACAGATGGGGCGGCAGCGGTCCCCCAGCCGTCAGCAAGCACTAACGTCTGTCCACAATGACATAAATACACACACACCTCTGTTTCTAATGTGTTATTTCTGTGGTTATCTGCTCATTTATGACAAGTGCCACAAGTTTTGCATTTTTCTTCTGAAGTGAATTCATGTTATAGTTTAAAAGTTGGGTCAATCTAAAGAAAACTATTAAATAGTGTATGTGTTATACACAAAGATGGCAAGAATTATGAGAATGTGCCAGAATGACTGGAGTTTGGGGAAGTCTGAACTAGGGGATCTGGTTATTTAAAAAGACCACAGAGTGAATCCTTTCCAGAGGCAAAGAGAGATCTTTGGTAAAGTACCTGTCTGTTAGTTCACCTACAATATTTTATGGGTTTATATGTTTATATCACGACAATTTCTGAAAAGAGAATAGTTTCTCATTGCTGGTTTGGTTTTTTTTTGTTTTTGTTTTGCAATACTTGTTTCTTAAATGCCTTCTTTATTCATTGAGTTGACAAATGTTCGTTCGGCAAGTAGTGGGGACACGGTGGTGAAGTAAACGGACAAGGTGCCTTGTCCTCATGAAACTTTGTTTCTTCAGCCTCCTTCCCCTCTTTGAGGCTGTTCATGGAAGACACAGCCTCCAGGAAAATTTAAGTGTTGTGAGAGGCAAAGAAGAGGTGAATGACATTTTTATTTTTACTTTTTGTTTTGCAATTTCAGCTCACATTCGGTGTTACTTTATATTAGTTTCAGGTGTGCAGCATAGCGGTTAGACAGTGAGATAATTCACAGCGTGATACCCCTGGTGATTCCAGGGCCCAGTAAGAAGTTACTGTAATACCGTCAAACTGAGAAATAGTTTCATTTTCCCCCTGTCTTTGGAACCATCTAGATGCGTGGTTTGTCTTCTCTTGGAAGCGTTTTTGCATTTGGGGGAATATACTATGTACCTGCAGACATAGTGATAGACTGTGTGGCTTTTTGAGGTCCCTTTCAATTGTCAGTGCATCACGCAGGGTGTCACAGACAAGACGCAACCCGGGACTGTGGTTAACACACCCCCAAGGGCCGCGACCGCTCTGAAACTGGACGTTCTTTACACCGGAAGTCGCACACCGGCAGCCGCCTGAGTTCTGTCCAGCCACTGGGTGTTTCTAGTTTGGCCCACGTGATATTTAAAACAAGTCAAAAAATTAGTTTCCAGCATTTGAAAAACCAGAGATTTTCACATTAAACAAACAAACAAATTTCATGTCTGTTTTGAAAAAAAATTCATGAATCCTGCACCGCTGAATGAGCTTCGGTGACCGGCAGAGCGGGCTGCTGCGAAATAGTGGCCGCCCTTGCGGACGGCGTGTGCTCTTCTCTGCTCCACCCCTTCAAGCCGCCTTCCTGGCCCTCGTGGATATTTGAGTTTACACCCCCTGCTTTAGCCATTTGGATCCCGGGCTTCATGCGGTGGAATAGCCTGGAGAAATTAAGCTCCGCCCCCACCCCCAGTGCTGGGGAACTGAAAGGTTGTTGCTCTGGAAACTCCTGGATCGCCCGGCTGGGTGGGCGTCCTTCTGGGCCCCAGAGGCAGCCGTCAGGGTGCTTTCCCTGGGTAATGCTGGTCAGGTTATCTCGGATCTTTCACAAGGAGATACTGTTTCCTGTTTGATTGTAAGCAACAGAAACAGATTCTGGTGAATTTAACCAAAGTGAGACTTTAATGGGAGAGAATATTGCACAACTCAAGGTATGGAAAGAGGAGAAAATGATCTGGACTCGGAAAATTCAGGAAACCAGGAATACTTGGAGGACCATGGGTGTCAGGAACTAAGGAAATTGATAAAATGCCTCCTGACTTTTCCCCGTTCTTTGTCGTTCTTCTTGTGTGTCTGAAGTCCCGGAGAAGAGAATTGGGTTGGCCTGGGCCCCGTCCTTGATGAGGAGAGCGGTACACTTTGGCTGACAGCCCTCTTAGATGACGCACGATGAAAGATTACCCCACCTGGAGGTCTGGGTGCTGTTCCAGGAAAGGGGGCCGGCTGTGGGTGGAAGGCAGCCGGAGCAGAAACTGCTCCCTGCCCCTCTTCCCAAGCTGGTTAGGAGGAGATTCGGTGCGCCCTGTAAAATGCAACAGAGGAACCCGGAAGCAGTATTTCGAGTTACACGAGAACCAAATCATGGGCGTGCCCTTTGACTGAAGCAAGGAGGCGTGGGGCTCAGATAAGGAACACGTTGAGTGACTAGAACAAAGTGACCATTTCAGTCCTTGTAGCAATTGCTTGGGTTGTAGCAGCTCCCAAGAAGCCATGCCAACCTCTCATGAAAAGCAACATCTGTAAGTCCTAAAGGTTTCTACTCCAGTTACATGCGATGAGAAGTTCTACGATTAAAACTTGAAAGGCTGTTGCCCACTCCAATTTTTAGTAGCAATAGGGTATTTTCCATTGTCTTTTTGACTGTTTTTATAAAGTGACATCAGTTTGCATGTTTAAAATACATGCATACAAAAAGACTATGCTAGGGTGAGCTACAGACGAAATGACAGTTTCAAATTTGACCTCTGATGTAATGCTACTTGTTAGCAGGATGTGATGTGTTTTGGAAGCCACCTGCCTCTAAGAGCAGCATCTGACATTTCCCAATTCGAGGCAGGAGCTTGAGTGTTTTTGTGCTCATCTGTGAGCCTAATTTTTTCAAGGATCACAGTCATGGCCGTGGAATAAGTGATCCTCCCCAAAATTATAAGTCTTAAGAGCATAAGAATCCCTGTACCTATTCTTGGAACTACATAGTAGATTTTCAAAACTGGCAAGCTGTTCACTGAGCTATAATACTTTTTCATTACTGCACTCTTATTTCTTTCTTTGCAGGATCTTGGTTTGCAAAAAGCAAGGAAAATAAGTGAACGACAACAACAAAAGTTGCCGGTGTGGCTGGGAATAGAAATTGAGGTTTCAAATACGAGAGGCAGTGCGGAGAGCCTCAGTTGGGGGGTGGGCAGGAAGTAGAGAGAGAGAAAGTCGGAAGTGGCTCTTTTTTAAGAGGCAAAACAAACACCTCACAGCGAAGTGTACGTGAAAATCATTTCTAATAATAGCTCTTGGTAGGCAATTCCCAGGGAAAAAAAAAAAGTCATTGGTGCGCTGAGAAAATCAGGGCAAGAACACAAAGGATGCTGGTGTGTTACTCAAGGCAATGGGGCTTTGGAGTTTACCTTGTACCATGTACACTAATCAATGCGGAATATATGCTGGCCATTTTTGACCATCATTTACTGTATTGATTTGTTAGCAGGAGAACCGTAATAAAAAAGCTATTGATTTACTGTCTTTATTTGTTTATGGGCTTTTTTGGCATTATTAATTTTTCACCCTTCCTTTCTCTTTTGGGGGGATCATTTCTTCTAGACAAATGCGGTGCTTCGTGAAGTTCGAAGAGAGGGGGTCCCCACGGTACTCAGGAACGAGACCCTGACCGCCATCCTGGGCTCGCTCAGCACACGTCAGAGCCTGCGGAGGGAGTGGCGCTCCAGGTGAGTCCGCGAGTGGCCGCTGTCGTCCCTGAAAAACAAGGGCTCTGCTTGCCTGGCGCAGCCCTTCCTTGCAGCTGGTGTCCTCTGTCTCACTTGAGGGGCCTTGAAGAATGAGCCAGTTTTTATCTCTGTCTTCAGCCGAAGTGAGCCTCTCCTGCTCAGGCTGCATTGCGACGATCCGTGGTGTCCTCTGGATGTGCATGTGATTCAGCCCCGAGTATGACATTTAGCATGAACGCTAGCACCTTGAGCCGAATTCAATATAAGTACCTGAGGCCAAAGAACCCTTTGAATCAATGGCCTAAAAAGATCAGTGTTGCAGTTTGGGGGGGGTGGGGGGCAGACGTCTGGGTTGCTTGGAAGCCGTCTGTCAACCCCCTTTTAGAATTGACCAAGTCGGAATCAGGTTGGCTTCTGCCTAGTTTCTTGGCACACGGGCTTTCCCGTGGTGGCAAAGCCGTCGCTGGTGGGAAGTTTGTGCAAATCACCAGTTTTTACAGCATCGATTCTTGCATGCTGCCTATCACGGTGCCCTGCCCTGATTTGGCAAACAAGTGATGGATGGACAGCTGGAACGACTTCCCCCACGGGTTAGGGTTAGCCTCCAGGGCTGTAGTTTGTAAAAAATTGTTGAAATATGGTGTGTCTCTGAGCAGGAGGGGGAGGAATTGGGAAGATTAGGCTGCACCTTGTCTCCGGGTCCTATTTGATGCTTAAAAATTCCATGTGCTTGGGAGTCAGGAGCATTTATTGATAGCTGTAATATTCGCCAAATGAGTCCATGCAACAGAATTTGCAATAATTGATGGCTTTACTAGTAACCATTATCATAAAAATAGATTTGTCTGAACAAGGCTGGAGAAGAGCATTTTTCCAAGGACAGGAGACGGTAAAGAGGATGGACTGTCCCTCGTGATTGGGTATCAGTGACGTTTGTTTCCGAATACGTGTATTATCTCTGCATTCAGACTTGCCTTGAAACAATCATTTTAACATTCCCAGGGATGTTCTCCCCTTTGCCTGCTTTTTGGCTGTGTGGTCAGAGTAAGTAACAGTTTTCAACCGCAGTCATTGCGTTTCCCATTTAAATGTCACTAATTACATTTTAAATTTTCCTTGTGTTACAGTGTAAGTGTGTGTAGTCAGGAGAGTAGGCAGGTTGCGTTAAATAACGCAGTATCGGTGTGGGGACGTGGAAGAGACTCCTCTCTCTGGGTTTGACCTTTTATAGCTCTGCCCCCAGTGATTCTTATTAAACGGGAAAAGGGGAGCGAGAGAGAATTGCCCTGTACCCTTGCTCCCACCACCTCCCACACCTCCGAAGACAGTGCAGCTCAGAGACCGAAGGTGGAGATGGGGGGAGGTCTTCTGCCGAGTGCCTTTGGCTTGGGAACAGGAATTGCCTGATACACCAAATCATCCCACGGTGTGGCCTGTTTAGAAAGGGTCTGGTCTCAGTCTCTCCGGCCCCGTCAGGGGCTGGAGCCAGTGTTGAAGTCGGTGTCGTCTGGCATCTGAAACAAAACTTTTCCAGTCCTTCGTGGGAGGGGTGGAGGGAGAAAGAGCCGACTGACCCAATGACATACCGCAGGCCTTCCTTAAAATCGAACCCCTGGAAGGACATTTCAAGAGCGCGCTGTCTGCAGAGCTCGGAAGGAAAAGTGTCCTCAGAGGGGTAACTCACCCTCATCCTGGGCCCCCCTGCCCTGTCTTTGCCCCCCTACTGGATGTTTCCCATCCCTGGGACCTAGCTCAAAGACTCACCCACACGACCGGTGTAAACACACTGTTCTCACATGGCTTTCTTCTGCTCCTTAAAGCCGTGTCAGGCAGCCAGGGGTTGGGCGTGGCCTCGTGGGGCCGCAGTGGAGCACGTTACAAAGCACCCACTGCCTCGCTCCCCACGCAGCCTGCGTTCCAGAGCCGCCTGTTGTGTGCGTTGGAATCGCACGAGGAGAAATGTGCTTTGACAGAAAATAATTAGCGCTCGCCAAAGGCCAAGCAGTGGGTTGCAGTATTTTACTTTCATCAAAGCTACCAGGGGATCAGTTAGATTAGATAATAGAAATTTTTTCCTCTGAAAGTTAAATGCAGATGACGGTAATTACCTTCTATTGCACATTAGAGAGTGCGTTATGAATAGTCCGACTTCAAGAAATTTAGGTCGACCGAGACTTCGCTGCTGGCAGCAACTTCAGTCCAAGTCGGCTGGGATCAAGGTTCCCACCTCCCCCTGTCAGCAGGTTCATTTGTGATAACAGTACTGGGGAGACTTTGAAGCGAGACTTGTGACTTGTTTTTAAAATATTTACGGTGATCACCAGTGGGAAAGTGGGGAGAAGCAGGTGAGGGTATGGAGGGGTAGATGGTGCTGGAAGGAGATAGCTCGGGGTGCTAAACACACAGTACCATATAGAGATGATGGGTTATAGAATCGCACACCCAAAACCTATATTATTTTATCAACCAGTGTTTCCCCAATACAGTCAATAAACATTTTTTTAAATAGAAAAAACTGTGTGTCTCTCTCAGGCCAGGAGCCAAGCCATTGTTTGGGGACAACTCGCTGAAGTCTCCTAAACTGAAAGCATATGTTCCCTGTAATTTAGCTTCTGGAGGAAAGTGTCAATTCCGCGTGACTCGGGGTAACCGGGTTTGTCACAGTGTCACGCAACCCCTCGGTTTCAGAGGCCCGTTGGAGCGCCGTGGGTTTCCCTCGCCAAGCCGGGTAATCCCATAAACAACCCTCTCCAAATAGGCTTATTAGGGCCGCCGGCCCGCTTCCCCGGAGCTGAATGCAGGGTAAGTGTTAACAGAGGCGGCCCAGAATTTCTGGAGACTCGGCTTTGTTTATCCAGCCCACTCCGCCTGATGGACAGCTTGCGATAGCTTTTAAAGAACTGGGCAAGCCCTCTGCTCTGACCCCTTCTCGACCCCCGCAGCCCAAAGGTCAGTCTGCAGCTAATAAAGTCGGAGGTTCTGCGGGCCTACTGGAGGAAAAGGCGGCGAAAGAGCAGCTGGGAGGACTGGCTGTCTCGGCGAAGGCTGTTTAGGGTCCCTCTCTGATAATGAAAATGATTACCAAATTATATGGAAGTTTAACCGCAATAGTGAGCGAGAGGAGGGTGGAGCCCAGCGCATTAGGTTTGATAAATGAACTGTGAAGAGGCCCATCTGGCTCTCAACATCTTTTCTCCTCCTCGCTCCCTACCAAGGGGAAACACTTTAAAATAACAGCAGTACATACAGACTCAGTGACCCATGCAAGGAGCTGGGATGGATTAAGATTTAATGGTGACAGTGGGAGAAATTATCATTTGAAAAGTGCACTAAAGAAAAGGTACAGTTCAGTGCCGGCGCCCAAACCCTTCTCCCGCGTGAAAGGGAGTAAAAGTCAGCGCCTTTGTTTCTCTTACACAAATCCCTCGCGTCCTTCCTGGGTTGCTGACAATTTTGAGGGCGTGTGCATTCCGGAGTCACCGTTCATGGCCAGTTTAAGGAAAGGAGTGGGCTTCCTTTACCTCGAATGTCTGGGGATGAGAGACAAGTGTTTTTATTTCTGCCCGCTTGTTCCGTTTGGAGAATGTGGGCAAGTCGCATGTTAGAGAAAAGCCTTTACAGGGTCTGTGTGATCCGCTTCCACAACTGCCCACTGAGGGTTCTGTGTTTTTTGACACTGAACATACACGTGTGACTCTGGCACAGTGTTTTACTTTTACTACCACTTGGCTGATTTTCTGGGAGAGTAAGGAGACAGCACCTGCCTGCATTGAGTAGACCTGTTCGCTTCTTGCTCCCTTTTTCAAAGAGGCGTCCTGGCGATGCTAATTAGTACCAACAATGGGTAGGTCATGAGCTAACTGTTTGCCGACTGTTAATGGGGAAGAGGATTCGGTTTAAAGCCCTCTTCCAGCTTCTGGTGTCCTGGTTTCTGCCCGGTGACGTTGGCGTTCCCAGAGCTCTACTGTCGTCTGCAGAGGCAGCTGGCACCGCCCATGACTCTTCATTCCGAAGCAACAACGATTTTACGTAACAAGCATTTTTGGTGTGTTTCGTATGCCTAGCTGGTACAAAATGCTACCCGAGAGGATGTGCTCAGCGGCCAATTTAAAAATGTGTCCAGGGTTGAGAATGGACCTTAGATCCTAGAAAGAGGCTTCAGGGGCAGCAGAAAGGAGGGTGATGGGGACCAGTCGCTCTAGCCCACTCAGGACAGTGTGGAACCGTGGACGTCTCTGAAGGTGAGAATCGCCGGCCCGTTGAAAGCCTATATCTTGCCCTGCATTGTCTACCGAATACAAGCCTTGCCCAGACCATAACTATTTTTAAAATTGAAATAAAGAGCTCCTAAACATCGTCCTGAGTTAGCATTCACCTCTGCTTTTGATTTCCTGTGTATCCATGGGGATTTGCAACTGAGCAGAAAGCCAGGTGATGGATAATGCAGAGAGATAGAGCTAACTGTGCTTTTTAACTTTAAAACAGTGCCCTTAAATTTATGCTGAGGAAGGTACGAAATTAAAAAAAATAAGACACAAACCAGGTCATCAGGGTTTTTTTTTTTTTTAATTGAGACATAGTTCAGCCTGCTCACTGTGGCTCGCTTGGGTGTTAGCCCACAAAGCAAAACGTTGCCAGTTCGATTCCCGGTCAGGGCACACGCCCAGGGTATGAGTCAGGTCCACCAATCGGAGCACGAGAGGGGCAACCCATGAATGTCTCTCTCTCACATCGATGTTTCTCTCCCTTTCTTTCTTCCTTCTTTCCCCCTTTCTCTGAAAATAAATAAATAAATAAAACCTTTTTTAAAAAACAGAGAGAGAGCTCACATAAAATAAAATTTCGCATAACGTAAACATCATCATTTTAAACTACAGGACGATCTGTTTAGGACGTTCACGGCATGGTGCCGCCATCAGCATCATCCGCCCCCAGAGTGTTCCCATCACCCAGACGTGAAGCCGCTCCCGATGTCCCTCCTCCCCACAGACCCTGGCAGC